GGCCCCTTAAGAAAAAATTTTGAAGTTTTTTCCGGGGGGGGGGGGGGGGGTCAGTTTACGCCGCTACCAAGCCGAGGTGCTGGTTCTTTCCCCGCAAGTGTTATGTGGGGTACAAGCGCATGTGTACTCGCGTGTATTGACCCATGTTTCTGGTGATGACGGCGACCTCCCCCCCCCCCAGGAAGTAAGCACAAGATGCCGAACACCCTTAGCAGGATGCAGCTCACCCTTCATGCGACTCGCCAAATACCTCACGGCCCTTCGCGCTTGGTGATGTGAGAGCCTGGTCCGGTGAGAACCCGGCGTGCTCCGTCCCGGCTTTGTAGGGATGCGAGGTCAATGGTCAAGCGACTACGGCATGCACGACTATGAGTACACACACACACACCCCTTCGTCCCCGGTGTTTTTCATCGGGGTTGGGTTTTCGTCGCTTGGCAACGACGTTGTAAAACATGCCGCCCCCCCCGGTGTTTTCCATCGGGGTTGGGTTTTCGTCGCTTGGCAACGACGTTGTAAAACAAGCCCCCCCCTCGGTGTTTGCCATCGGGGTTGGGTTTTCGTCGCTTGGCAACGACGTTGTAGAACAAGCCAATTCACTTCGTGAACTCGGCAACCAGGTTACCGGTTTTGTTTTTTACCTCTGTTTTTTTTTTTGCGGTAACCATAATGGTGGTCGAGTAGATCATGTTGTGCGAGGTCGAGAACCCTCACTCCGCGCAAGGGGGATGATCGCACCACGTTGTGTTAAAATGGTCAAGCATCCTCGAGGCAGTTACACAGTGCTTATAACTGTCTCTGGAAGTGAACGCACAAGCTAATAAATTAAGTCATACGCAGCTGTCATCCGTACGCAAGCAAGTAAGCACAAGATGCCGAACACCCTTAGCAGGATGCAGCTCACCCTTCATGCGACTCGCCAAATACCTCACGGCGCTTCGCGCTTGGTGATGTAAGAGCCTGGTCCGGTGAGAACCCGGCGTGCTCCGTCCCGGCTTTGTAGGGATGCGAGGTCAATGGTCGAACGACTACGGCATGCACGACTATGAGTACACCCCCTCCCCCCCCCCCTCGCCCTCGTGCTGCCGACATGTTTGGAATGTTGTACATTTACGTTTTTTTGACGTGGATGAATGTGTGCCAGGACACCCTCCTCAGAGCAGCGGGGGTCGGTCTTGCCCGCCATACTTCTGGAGCAGTCAGCGTCGACAACATCAACAACAACCCCAGCAGCAGCAGTAGCTGCAGCAGCAACAGCGGCGGCGGCAGCGGCGGCAGCAACAGCGGTATCATGAGCGGCGGACGCAAAAACAAGGGCCATATGGAGGATCCCTTCGGTGGCGAAAATCAGGCTGGCGCTCCCCCCGCCCAGCCACAGCAGCAGCAGCAGCAGCAGCGCGGGGGTGCGCCGGTGCCGCCACCGCCGCCCGGGGGTGTAGACCGCAACGTCTCTCTGCCGGATCTGAACGACGACGAGAACAACTTCCGAACGACATGCGATGCATGCACGCTCGGCAAGATCAAGTGCGACGGCGGGCACCCGTGCAGGCGCTGCCAGCGGCGGGGCTCGGAGTGCGTGTACAGGGAGAAGAAGTGAGTGGGCAGTGGTAAACAGGGATAATTGTCGTAGTAGTAGTTGTTGTTGTGCTGGGGAAGTAAGAAGAGTAGTAGTATTGAATAGAGTAGACTAGTAGTAGTTGTAGGAATGGTAGTATTATTAAATACTCCGGAGTAGTAAAATAGATCAAGCACGTGACGGTGACAGCAAGAGAGATGTGCACGTGTTTTTTTCTTTGTGGGCATGAAATATGCGACGACGTCGACGGATGATGATTCAAGAGTCTCGCCGCGGCCCTATAAAATTGCATCTACAGTAGTGAAGGTGTTTGTTTTGTGTTTTTTTTTAACCTGGGGCACGGAGCAAGAATGGTTAAGGACTGACAAAAAAAATAGAGCAAGTGGCCAAAATCGGGTGCACCCGGTCAGAATACGGCCATAATCGGGTAGCCCTACAAGACGCTGCTGGGAGGGACCGCATGCCACCATCTGATTGGCCGACGCCCGCCCCTACCCGGCCTTGGCCGTCGTTCCACCGGGTGCACCCGATCTTGGCTACTCACCCCCCGGAGGTACCCAGTTTTTCTTTCCCCTACCCGACAATGGCTGGGCTGTTCGACCAAAACCCATGCACACAATCACGGGTCGGACGCATACCACTGGCCCTCATTTGTCGCCAATGAGCAAGTAGCGGGAGGGAGAGAATATGTCTATTTTTTAAATGAGTCTTGTGTTTGTCGCATCTCGTGAGGGAGGGATTCATCCAGCTCTTCTTCTTGATCACTTGCACAGACAGACCATTAGCCGTTTCCCCCAAGGGAGACGGCGGGCCGTCAGAACGTCCGAATTTTCGAGGGCAGGGCGTTGCTGACGTGTACTTGTGTGCATGGGTTTTGGTCGAACAGCCCAGCCATTTTCGGGTAGGGGAAAGAAAAACCGAGTACCCTTCCGGGGGGTGAGTAGCCAAGATCGGATGCACCCGGTGGAACGACGGCCAAGGCCGGGTAGGGGCGGGCGTCGGCCAATCAGATGGTGGCATGCGGTCGCTCCCAGCAGCGTCTTGTAGGGGTACCCGATTATGGCCGTGTTCTGACCGGGTGTACCCGATTTTGGCCACTTCTCAAAAAAATATCTTGCCTAAATGCCGGTTTCATTTGCGACACCTTGCAGTTGCACCCCCCCCCACCCCCACCCCGACAACATCCAAGGTTTGTCATGTGGTTCATTTTCGGCTTATCAATGTCAGGCATCGACCTTTACCGGTAGCTCATTCTCTCTCTCTCTCTCTCTCTCTCTCTCTCTCTCTCTCTCTCTCTCGTGGGCATGTGTGATGTGAGCGTGTGAAAGGCATGCAGGCATCGAATGTTCTAAGCGACCTCTCTCGGTGTTTTGGGTGTTGTACGTGCTCTGCCCCCCCCCGCAGGAGATGCGGCCCAAAGCGCAGGAAACTGTCCTCCCGCGACGATTCCGATGACGACGGCAATCACGTGGGAAGTGTCGCGGGGCACCTGGGCGAAGGCGGGGCCGGTTTCAGGGTGCTCACCTCCAGGGAGCAGGAGTTTCTCGCCAAGTTTTACAGCAGGTGCTCTACTTGTTGCTTTGCGACTGGCCTGCGCGTGTGTTTGTAGAAGGAAGCCCTGCGAAGTCATGACGTGCTCCAACCGCGACGTCCTGAAGGTGTCCACTTCTGCATTTTGTTTCAAGTGTCAAGGTGGTGAGGTTCGAGCGCGGTTGAACTCGTGCCCTCGCGTCCCCGCCAACCTATGCTAGAGCAGAGAAGAGCGGCACGCTTACCACCACTGAGGAGGAGTGTGTTGCTCTGGACCGGCTTGTCGTGACTCCCACGTCAAGAGCGAGTGCGCAAGCCGATTCATGTTTTGTATGGCCTCATTTGTGTGTGGGTCATCCCGTTTGTTCCCAGCCTGTCGATTTTGGTTTGCAACTGCTTTGTACACAGCCTACATTGAGAGCTCACAGCTCATTGTCTTCCAACCAGGAAGTTCTTTTTTGTCTATATATGTATGTATGTATGCATGCATGCCTCATGCGTGTCCCGCTTTCCTCGCCCCTCCTCCTTCTTTCTCCACGAACACACACGCAACACAAAAATGTGATCCAGCGTCAACAAGTTCATCCCCCTCACCTGCGTCACGGTGATCCGCGACGCCATGAACCCTCTGCCGCTGGACGTCGTCCCTGGACTCGCCGCATCAGAGGTGTGTACAAGCAACCATGTCGGTTCGGGGGTGTTCGTGCGAGTACGTATGCGGGAGACGTTCTATGTACTATTTTAGAGCTGGGGTGCACGTACAGCAGTATGTCGTTTCAGTGTAGTAATGCGAGTGCGTGCGGGAAACGTTCTTGGTACTAGTGCTGGCTGGGGTGCACGTGTAGGCGTAGCGAGGGGAGGGGGGGGGGGGGGGGGGGGGGCCTTCCTTTTTGGGGCTGGCCAAAACATTTGGCCGTTGAACCCCAGCCCCTTTTTAAAAGGAGCACGCGTACCCCCCCCCAAAAAAAGCCCCGAAACTTGGGGAGCCCTTTTGGATTTCCCCCAAAAACCCAAAAAAAATTTTCCCAGATACAACCCCCCCCCCCCAGGGGCCCTTGGGCCCACCCCCCCCCCCCAAAAAAAGGGGCCCTTTTTTTCAGGGGGC